TACAACGCGGTAGACGGTTTCCATAGAACACGCTACGAATTAGCCTGGTTTGTACGGTTAAATCCGAGTTTCTTATAGCGCGGTTTCCATATAACGCGGTACGCACTCACCGCGTTATAGGAGGGTTGACTGTATATCATTATGTGCAGGTTTTTACAAATTCAAAATGTATTGCGACCACAAAGCGAATGCCTACACCCTACAACTTACACAATTTTATAATCATTATAATCATTTTTTTTACTTCATAGGTACTTTTATAAATAATGTATATGTCTTTATATTATAAGATAGTATAATGTAAGTAAATAGGTACTATCAGTGTATGTTGAGATCACTATCGTGACCCCAAATTTTTTTTCGCTGACGTAGACCCCTTGCATTGTCATAGACCGGTTGTCATAGACCCTTGCAGTTGTCATAGACCCTTCAGGTTGTCATAGACCCCTTGCAGGTTGTCATAGACCCCTTGCAGGTTGTCATAGACCCCTTGCAGGTTGTCATAGACCCCTTGCAGGTTGTCATAGACCCCTTGCAGTTGTCATAGACCCCATGCAGGTTGTCATAGACCCCTTGCAGGTTGTCATAGACCCCTTGCAGGTTGTCATAGACCACTTTGGGAATCACCGGCTTAAACCAATAAAAACATGTGCGGTTTGTTTTGGTAAGGATTATTTACTTAAAAAATACAAGTTTTCTTCATAAAAAATAAATCTTCAAACATTAAGAAATAACCCAAATTTACATTGATTCACTACGATAATTAAAGATTTCTTTGTTAATAGGATCGAATTTAATTAAAAAAATAATAATAATTATTACAAAACAGCTCTTTATTAATAGATGGACATATTGGAAATAAAGATCAATGAGTTTTTTTTGTTTTAAATTTAAAAAAAAAATTTCGCTTCGCACTTCACAATATATATTTATTATAAATATAAGATTAGAAAAGTCCAGTAATCAAAATATAATTTCCGATTTTCTCATCAATCATTAAAAATGTTTTAAGTAAACTCGTCGATAGTTCCGAGTGAAACGAGTTTAAAGTGTATTTTTTGTTATTGGTGTTGTTAGAAATTGCTTTTTATTTACTCCGTCTTCTTTTATTTATTTATTTATATATTTTTTTTTTGTTTGTTACGCTATATGATAAGGTGAAAAAATATTTAAAAACCGCCTATACTTCGTTCTACAACCATAAATATACAGATAATAATAATAAAACAAACAAAAAATTCATAATATTCTTTGTCGACTAGAATCCTTGCTGATATTGCTTGGACTCTAACCGAGTTTGTATAATTTCCAGTTGTCGCTTCGCCTCGCACTGCGGGAAATTCTGCAGATCGTAATATTGCGGTGCAATCTTCAACAGCCAATTTGCTGAAACACAAAAAAACAAGAATGGAGTCATTGTCAGTTGGGAATAGAGTGATTGTGTAGACATGGAAATGCCATTTAGATAAGTTTCAATTCAATTTACTTACGTTTAATATCGGTTACGGTGCGAATGTAGTTTTTCGTGGTCAGTACGAATTCATTATAAATTACCCATTCAGGTTTATGGTCTAAACAAGTGGACGGGTGCAATTGGACTATTTGGTTGTCTTTTATGGTCAAATAGTGACCGGTGCGTTCTAAATGAGCAACCTAAAAAAAATAAATATTCATTAATATTTTTAATACAAACAAAATAAATAATTTATAATACCTGCATGAAAAATCCATTTACCAATGCTTTGCGAATGTTTAAGTAGTAGTCTTTACTAGTGAAATCGGTCGAGGTTCGCTTTAAATTGAACCTGTCCATAATTCTCGACAACTGTTGCCTTACATTGTCGGCAGACTTAAGCGTTCTGTAGTTGACAAAATTGTCATAACACCATTGAGGGTCTTCCATATCTGCGAACGATTAGAATCGAGTTTAGAACTTGTATTCGAATGGAATGCGGCACTTACTTTGTTTGAATGCGTGGTACACGTTGAGCAAGGTGAGATGATCACCATCAATATGGGCGAAACGCATCTTGGCATCGTCGGCAGCCTTCTTAGCCTCGTTTGGTCTGATGAAGCACTGTGGGACTAAACATTGGAGCAGGGCAGTCGCCCGTATCCAACCAATATAGTTGCTGCACTCATGCGATTCCTACATAGAGCTACCCTTAGTCAGAACTCTGAGCAATCCACTCTCATATTTCATTTAGAGAAAGATGGGAATGGAAGAGAGTAGATGCAAAAGAAAATCAAATTGAACTTAAGAGAACTACGATGATGAGTAAAACGATACAGTTGCTCAGAGTTCAAGTTAAACTAATTCACTTCAATGTGATAATTGTGATTATGTCTCTAACCGAAAAATGAACAACTAAAAAGGGGTTTTTAGGTGAACGCTTAAGTAAATAATAAATACCTGACAGCATAGCAGTTATAGAAAGGATTTCATTGGAGCAATTATGATTGCAACTGGCTATGAGCATTTTAGCGAGCTGTGGGTCCAGTGGGAACTCCGCCATCACTGCACCTAGATCGGTCAAGTTACCATCATCATCCAGAGCGGCTAAATAATTGAGTAACTCCAAAGCCCTCATGAGGGTTTCAGGAGCTGGTGGATCCATGAAATCGAAGTGCACCAAATCGTCGATGCCCAACTTTTTCAGCTGTAAAACAACGGAGCCCAGATTCGAGCGCAAGATTTCCGCGTACGTGTTGTCCTGCATTTCGTTCTTGTAAGCCTTCTCCGTGTACAAGCGGAAACATTTGCCCGGCTTCGTACGACCGGCACGTCCAGCCCTCTGCTGCGCTGACGCCTTGCTAATTGGAGAAACTAAAAGTGATTCGACTCGAATACGGGGATTGTACACTTTCTGTTTTGCGAAACCGGGATCGATCACGAAAACAACACCGTCTATTGTCAATGAGGTTTCGGCGATGTTTGTGGAAACGACGACCTTCCTACCAATGGCGCCGTTCGGTTTGTTCGGCGGAGGATCATCGAAGATCCTCTGCTGAAGGTTCGGTGGAAGCGTCGAGTACAGAGGTATGCAGACCAGATCACCTACGTCCGGTCCCAAGTTGTCGATCTCCCTTTTGATCCGCTTGCAGGCTGCTTCGATTTCTTCTAAACCAGTGAGGAAAAGCAGAATATCGCCGGCGATTTCCTCGCACATGTGAATCTGGATGACTGTTCTGATGGCGGCTTCCAAATAATCGCGTTCCGGTTCCGGAGTGTAAAATATCTCTACGGGATGGGTACGTCCCGGCACCGTCATTAAAGGAGCGTTATCAAAGTACTGCTGGAATTTGCCGGCATCCAATGTGGCCGACATGACAATCAACTTGAGATCCGAACGCTGTTTGATCACCTCTTTAAGCACACCCATAAGAATGTCTGTGGCCAAAGTACGTTCGTGAGCCTCATCGAGCAATATGCATTGGTATCCTTCCAGCATTGGATCGCTCATACCTTCACGAAGCAACATACCATCTGTCATATACCTGAAAGTAAACAATATTCATTAATACTCCATCAAAATTACTTCTTTTTTGATCACTTACTTCAATATAGTCTTTGCTGATGAGCAATCTTCGAAACGGATGCTGAAACCGACTTCCTGACCTAAAACCACGTCCATTTCCTCTGAAACACGCTGTGCCACGGACATGGCAGCCACCCTCCTGGGTTGCGTACAGCAAACACCCTTGCTTCCCACAGAACGGGCGTAATCTACGCACCATTGCGGGATTTGGGTTGTTTTTCCGGAACCTGTCTCACCGACGAGCACGATGCACTGGTTCTCGGCAAGGAGATTCATGAATTCCGCCTTGTACTCGAACACCGGCAAAGTGATCCTCTTGCGAAACAGTTCATGGTATTTCTGGGAATATGGTGATCCATTCAAGGAGTTTACGGAGCTCGGGGTCGAAGTAGTAGTAATACCTCCGCTAGGTGTGGTCACTGCTGTACTGATTCCTCTCTCCTCCCTTCAAACAAATTATTTAAAAAAATATACCATTAGCAATAAGTCATCTATTATTTAACAAACATTCATATAATGCAATAATCTTATCAATCATCTACTAAATTATTATTAAAAGTAATTATTATGTCTATTAATACAATCACGTTTAGATAAAATACGCTGTAATTTATATTGTTTACATATTTTGTTTTTTTTATTTATATTTGCGCAATTAGAGTATAAAAGAAAAAGTGCAATAACGTGTACATGCAATTATATTAATGATTATCAAAGTTCAAGATCAAATTGTGCAATTTAATTGGAAACAAATAGTAGAAATGAATTTGACAATGAATATTGATTATGATTAGGTATCAATAGATTTGGGTCGTCGATATCCAATCGAGATCGGAGTTCAAGGTACATTTCGAAACTGTATTAGATCTAAGAAAACAAAACGTTTGTTTTAAACGTAATTTATTTGTTGATTTAATTTAAATACAAAACTATTAGAAGATAGTTTCAGTCTTCAATTATTTGGTGGAAGATCGGATTGCTTCCGCCGGGCAATACTGTTTGTTGGCTTTATCGTAAGCTTCCACCATGACTTTACGAGTCATCTCGATGAGTTTATCAACATCCTTTGCGGTCATCCCTGCGGTGGGAATAGCTTCCAAAGCTGTGATAGCAACCTGACCGTCCCTGAAGAACTTCTTTTTCTCATCGATGAAGTAGTATCTGCTGAAAACCACAGGTATAACGGGAATCTGAGCGGAGATGGCCAAATGGAAAGCGCCTTTCTTGAACTCGTGGATCTCGCCGGTGTTGCGTCTGGTACCTTCTGGGAACAGCCAGATCTTCAATTTCTTCTCTTTGACAACATCTCCGGCACTGTTGATGGCCTCCCTGGATTTCTCTCCGTTCATCCTGTTGATGAAGATCACACCGCCCAGCCAAGAAGCGAATCCGAATGGCAAGAAATAGAGCAACTCTCTCTTCGCCACAGCCGTGCACTTTTTCATCATTGGCCAGACCTCGTACATACCGAGAAGATCGAGGCTGCTCTGGTGATTAGCCACGATCACGGCGGCTCTATCTTCCTTCAGATGTTCCATTCCGTGAACAGCCCATTTCACGCCAATAACTGGAGGAATTACGGTGCGAGCAACGTAAGCTCCCATCAGCAGGTTGGCTACATTCTTCGGACGTAGCAGGAAGATGGGGATGAAGACAATTCCGACGCAGATGACGACCGTGAAGCAGTAGATGTACTTCAGCATAAAGTTCACTTTCGTGTTGGTTTTGCTTAAGTAAAAGAGCGCCGCGACGACGGCAAGAAATACGTAGAGCCACATTTTTTTTCTCTTAACGGGTGGATTCAGCACCGACGAGTTTCACTTGTTCCGACAGAATAATAGAAATCGAAAAGTTACGCAAACTACAAAAGTGATGGGCGGACTTTACGCGCCACTTTTTAACGCAATCTTATCAAAGACGATGAGGCAAAGCAGGTTTGTCATCGGGGTTTTTGCACCTTGAACATGCGATCATCGAGTAGATAATAAATCAGAGCCTTTCTAGGACAGTATGCTAATGTGAAAGGTATTCACATAAACAACTAGTCAAACTACACTTAAGTATGTACACAAATTTATGTACATTCAAATTAGCAACTGTAGATTACATAATTAAGATAGTTCCAAAGTTGTTCAGCAAGTGCCAAAATAGTAGTTCATAGTGCATTTAGTATGTTATTACTTAATAAGCAATCTCAGGATACCGATCTAATCTACTTTGCACATCCAAAAGTGAAAGTCATTAATTGGAAACATGTTCAAAAAGTCAGTTGCACGAAATTATATAAGTGTGTGCAAGGCAGAGATGGAAGTCATTCCACATCTGAAGCGATGTGCACATCAAACATGATACGTGCAGCACATGTGTTTACATGTGAATAGCCTAACTAATCATAAGCAGTTTTCATTTTTGGCAATAACATCAATAATCTACATCTAGTGGGCTGTAGTGTGAGACCAATACCAGCACTGGTCGTACCGCATTTTGGCATTTGTCTTTTCGATTAGGAATATACACACATACATACATTTAGAAAACACAATAGGAACGTACCTTTTCTTTTTGATGAACGGATCCAACACTTCGATTCTACGCTTGGACATCGCGTCTTTCCTAAATCACTAGGTTCCGGGTGAGAAATTTGCTTGGGGGGCGCGCTAATGCTCCTTCCTTTTTTCCTTTCAAAGCGAAAACGTTGGGTAGAAACGTTCCTAACCCCAAAAAAACAAACAGGATTTTCAGTGTGTGTGTCTGTGGGAAAAACCAGGAAACGAAAAAGGAAGTCGGCAATGCAGACATCTGCAATACTGTAAAAAAAAAATTCAACGCATGTCTGCAAAATGTAAACAAAAACGTATCATTTTCGATGATAACTGTAGCTACATCACACGAGGAATGCTCACGAAATTAATTGGATAATTAGTATTATTGGGCTTATATTATAATGATTAACTGAATATTAAAGACGCAACCCGCATCTCTTGATTGTATATTTGGTGGCCTATACATAACTTCGCAAGGACGATGGACTATTAATGATCCAGTAGCTTCATTCATGATAAATCTTAATACAGCATTAATTAACAAATGAAGGCATTACTTTACTTAATTAAAGTGAAACAAAACACATGTATTTTATCGCTTAGTTTACTTGATTAAGAATAGTTTATAATTAAGGTTTATTTAAACCATAAACGACATCGAAATTAACGTCATTAAACCAATTAAAAATTAATGAAGTAAACAACAACAAAAATTCTGAACGAAACAAATATTTGTTGTGATTCTTAAAATAAAAAAGTTTTTATCGATTCCCATAATGCGAGTGAAACAGTTGGCCCATGCATATTCAACGATGCTTTACGAATTATGAATAATTAAGAAAACTCGGTTTCAAATTAGTTCGCCTATTTCATCTTCTCGTTCAATTATTCAACAATATTATTATTGGCATTGAATGGTTCAAAGTTTTACCTTTCAGGATCGATTTTTTTTAATACTTTCATTGCTCTTCAGTAGTAGACACAGCAGCAATTCATTAATTTCGCAGAGACAATACACTCGAAACTAGCAGGCATTGCATAAATCAAGAGTGCTATTGAGTTAGAGTGTGCTTAATTGATTTATTGCAGCTTTGTCCTCATTTTCAAGTGGTTTTCAGCAGATTTTTGAAGGAGCGAATCGATTGATCCAACAAATGCATTGAACTTGATGGAAATAATCTTCGTGACAAAAGAAAACTTACCTGAACGTTCACGTTTTCATGAAATGTGTTGATACATCTTAAAGATATTAGCAATAGTAACAATGAAAGAAGTAACAAGGAGAGTAACAACTATTGACTTAGAGCAGTGGTTTCCAAACTTGATGTTCTTCTTCTTCTTCTTTTATAAACCTCCACTCCCTCCACTTAGCTTGTGTCAAGCACAATTTCGCCAGCTACCGCAAACTTGATGTTACTACGCCTCCCTCAAAACTATGTAATCATTTGGCGCCTCCCCACCACCCACCGTTTCATAAAAGAAACGCGTATTATAGCAATATGAATAAGAGCACAGGAATGTATCTATACTTGCTGGATTCCCCAAATATTCAGCTTTCATATGCATATACTGGAATTATTT